TAGCAAATTTCATCAAAATCGGTTAAATAGTTTTCGAGAAATCTTGACAACCGACTTTAGAAAAAGCGTTTTGAGAAAAACGCGTTTAAAGATTTGAGTGCTGGTATAAGAGCCATTAAAGAGTGGAACTTCCCAAGGCTCTATCTTTAAAACTACTACTTCTATCGACTTTAAAATTGAATACAACATTCTAGATGAGTTGTAGAATTTAAAAAGATAAAAAAAAAAAAATTTTTTTGAAAGTCCCAAACCCATGTAACCCCTTAACTTACAGTTATTACATTCATTTTTGATAATAGTCCAGTTTTGATTTTCGACTTTGAATTATTAACTCGTAGCTTGATTTTAGTAGTACTTGGATTCTTTACTCTCGAATATTATTTGAATTCGAGTTAGTCGAACTTGTGCTCATTAAAGAAGAAACTCGTAGCTTGATTCTAGTAGTTACTTATACTTGGATTCTTTATTTTCGAATATTATTTGAACTTGTGTTAATTGAACTTGTGATCATTAAAGAAGAAATAAACCAGTGACCAAACTAAGCACTCCTGAAGCAATCACGATCGATTGGATTACTGTAAAGGATTGTGTGATTTGTAAGTAAACATTTATAATTAAATATCTTAGTAAACCAGAGCTACGGGAACTTATAATTTGCACCATAGTCGTATCATTTATCCTTCACGCATCCCTTTTTCACCTCATCCTCCCCCTTTTTGCCATTACTTATCGTTATTTAATCTTGGGAATACGAACCTGTCTGGTCCCGACTATACTGGTGGGTGGTCAAAACAGACTTAGCACATACTACTTAAATCATTTTCGTCAGTTCAGACGTAACAGTAACTGTTATTCAAGGATTAAAGTTTCGTTTATTATTTGCGCCAGATGACAAAAACTTTATTGTTTTGAATGTTTTTACGATAACTATCACTCTGGAACCTGCGTTTAATAAAAATATTAATAAATGTACAATAAATCTTAAAACTCATGGATATAAAAAAATTATACATGAAATTGTTAATGAGCAGAATATATAGGATTGTTATTTGTT